TCCTTGAACAGTGTTCATGTTCTCTCTCACACAAAAGCAAACTGGTGGGTGGACTGTTTTCTGTTCCTCTGGAAAACAAATATATAGTGGTTTTTCATTTATATGAACCTTGATTGATTCCTGTCACTGCCCCCACAAAACTCAGAAATAAGGGCCAGTAACAGAATAAAAGTCCCACCCTAGAGCTCCCGGCCCGGAGCAAGAGAGGCTCTGCAGCTGCCGCCTGACGCGGGTGAGGGAGGAAGCATGAGGGTGGGCACATGCGGGGCATGGGTGCAATCTGGGTGTATGGAGTGGAGACCCCAGCCAGCAACCACCCACTGCAGCAGCAGGCCCTCCGGCCACCGAACAGCATTTGCCTTGGGCCTCCCCAAGCAAACTCCGCCCCAGGACCTGGGCTGCCCACCACACCTCTGATCGTGCAGCTCCCTCTGTCTGGTGCGGCTGGCATCTTTGGCTCTGCTCAAGGCCTTGTCAACACCTACCCATCTGCTGTAGTCCTCCCTGCTCCACGGAACCAGCTAGAACAGCCGCCTCCTCCAGGCCCCACTGTGATCAGAGCCAGGGTCTCGGTCATCCTGTTTTCCTAGTGCCCAGCACAGAGCCTGGCACACGGGTATTTAATCAACAGGTGTTGGAAAAAGGAAGAGCATAACATTGTTTGTCTCCCATTTTGCCATATGGAGAACCAAGTGGCAACCCTGGCCCAAGGTCCGAGGGCCCCAGCCAACCCCCACATCCCATCCCCTGACTTGCTCACCTGCCTGAGGTCCGCCCCTACAGCCCTGCACAGTCACATCCCACCCACTCTCCAGGTTCCCTCTGTGGTTGCCCACCCCTGGTAGAAGGAAACCTCTCTTCCATCTAAGTTCCCAACCACCAGATCTGTTGTCACCTTAGCTGGGCCTTTCTAATGGCTGTTTCACACCCCCATATTAGGCATATATACAACTCTCAACCCCATCACCCGCCTGGTGAACCAGCCTGAGGGCGGAGCTTCCAAAATGGCCATAGAGTCAATGAGCAAGTGAAAGCATCTCTGCCATCCCTTGGGAGGAGAAAAAGCCAGAACCAACAGTCCTGTCAGCTGGTGGACGGGAAGGGGGCAGGGTCCGAGCCCGGCCTGCCCACATGGGAGGCGGGGCTGGGCGCAGTCGGCCAGGTCCCAGCAACACGGAGTCAAGAGTGTTACACTACCTTGTCGGCCAGCGCGTCTCCCGGTCCATCTTCGCCTTTCCCAACACTTAGCTCTGACTGCTTGCACTTAGTATCTGACAGGCAAGCTAAGAGTCAGGCTGCATTATGGAGACCCCGGGGAAACTGCCGGCGCCGCTCATCTTGTGCAGAGTGGCTCAAAGGGCAAAGGTTGGCTCCTTCACCTACTCAGCTGGGCCTCACCAAGGAAATAAGATCAAGAAAGTGGTGTTCGTGTTTAGCATTTATTTATGATTGGAAAAACCGTTGGCTGGTTGGTTGGTTTTTCTGAGCAAGCACAGACCACAAGCACGTCACAATCAATTGGCTATACAGGAATATTTTTGTCATTCTCTTAAG